CACCACCATGCCTAGACTCCATTGCTGGCTCAATGTGCCCTGGTGCAGGGCCGGCGCAGCATGTGGTGCCAGGAATCAAAGCCTGGCCCCTGCGCTTGCCTAAGCAAGCTCTTAGTCCACTGAGCTATCTTGTTAGCCCTGGCCAAAACTTTTTTAAAAATACATTTGTGTTTTTTCAGAAAAACATTACTCAAGTAAGATCAAGACTGTCATTTATATTTAAGTAATTTTGCAAATTTCATAATACTTTTTTCTCTGCTCTTTAAACACAGAGAACTCTTCTAAAGTAGTATTGTCACAGATATGACCCAGTACCCAGGGAGCTCCCTAATGAATTCCTGTGGAAAGCTTTAGAGTTACTTGGTTGGTGGTAACAGCCAAGGTTGTATAGATACAGAAGTGTGAGGGTGGGGCAAGTGGTCAGGGAACTCATCGTGTGTTCTCTTGAAATAAACTGTTGGTTATCAACCTTTTAGGAAACACAGATCTTCCTATTAATGAAATGTATGTATTATTTGAATGTTGAATAGCTGAACATGCAGGTATTTTGATAGTACAGCTTACAGATTTGTCAGGTTTTCTTATGAAAATGTATCATGCTGTGGTCTGAGTCCTTGCTGTGGAGTGGTACAGGGCGAAGGAGTGGTCAAGCAGGGAGTTCAGGTAAGCTTGAATGGAGGAAGCTGTCCAGGTAGACATCCCTGACCTGCATGCAGTTGGGTATGTGGAGTGGTGTGGAAAGACTGCTGGGCCAGCAGCTTTGGACAGGAGACACAGACGTGGCTGTTAGCGGCATGTATGTGGTGACTAAATGAGGGAGTGGTTGACTTAATACGCAGAGGAGTGGGGCATGTGCTTAGGCATATGTTTTTCATTCAACATTAGAGTAATTTTTTTTTGTATTTAGTACAGGGTCTCACTACACAGATCAGACTCCTAATGATCCTCATAGGTACTTGCTACCACACCCAGTCTGACATGAATAATTTAATAGATCAGGTGCTGCTGATGTAAGTCATTATTCATTGGGGAAAAGTGGAAAACCCAAACATATTTCTGTAAGACTTAGGACTTTATCTTCCTGTCTTTGATCCACTTAAACTTAAGGTTTTTGAACTGTAGTGGTTTGGCACTTAAAAGTAGTGTTTTTAAATTTGTAAGAGGATCTAAAGATTAGATAAAGTCATGGGTGGTTTTAATCTACTGTTCAGTGGGAATTTTGAATCATTATCCTGACATCCTGCTGACCTCTGATGGCAGGTATCCCAACCAAGGCAGAGTGTTCTACTTTTAAGCAGAAATGACATAGAAAGATGTTCTAATAATATGTGGAACATAATAACTTCCATTCATTCTTTCAGTCTTTTTGGGATGATGCAGAATGAATACAATTTTTCTACCGTGAAAGAGTTTGAAGGAACCACTGTTAATTCTTCTTCTTTTTTAAACATGCAATCTCTCTTTTTCCATAGCAATATGATGGAACTAAGACTGATTTGGAGGATGGAACTCTGTGTATGGAGAGATTTTTGGTATTGTCTAAAATGTAGTGGTGAACTTCAGCAAAGGAAATAATGTGATTCTTTATTTCTTCCATATAAAAGGTTTTAGAGGTAGCATTTAATGTGGTACAAAAAGCACCAGTACAGGGGGCTGCCCCGTAGCTCAGTTCTTGAAGTGGCTGCTTCAACAAAGTAGTCAGGCTCAGGTTGCTGTGTTTCGATCCCCACAACTCAAGCCAGCCAAACCTGCCCTGAAGGCATTCGGAGGCAAAAAAAAAAAATCCTTCTGCCTTTTGGGTCAGGGAGATGGCTCAGTAGAGTAAGTGCTTGCCTGGCAAGCACAGAATCCTGGGTTCAATCCCCGGTACCGCCAAAAAACAAACAAACAAACAAAAAAAAAAACCCCGCACCAGTACAATCTTGTCATAATTTTTATATTAATATGGTTTCATAACTTTTTCATGAATCCTAGGTATAATTTGAAGTTTGTATTAGTGATACCTAGATGAATGCTCATTAAATGATTAACATGTCTTTTTGGTTGACAGTGAAATGACTTAATTTAAAAAATTTAATCCTTATCAGATGTACTGAAGGATTGAGGGACTGTATGGGCTGTAACTGAATAATACTGAAATCTACCAGATTTCTTTTTACTCATGTCAGATTTTTCTAGGGTAGAGTAGTATTTTTGGCACATATACTTCCTTTGTAATTGGCAGTTTCTGATCTGTAGCATTAAGAAACATTGTGACCATGGTTTTCAAACTTAATGCCTTGAGTAAGTCTGCTTTTTCATAAAAAGCAGTCTTGCCACTAATTATTAATATGCTTAGAATAACCTCTTTTTTTTTTGAAACAATGTCTCACTTTGAGGTCCAGGCAGGCCTTGAACTTGCTGTACAGCCCAGGCTGTCCTCAGCCTCAGTGATCTTCCAGTATGTCTCCTGAGTACTAGGACTGCAGGTGTACATCATTATGTTCTGCTCAGAATTAATTTTAAAACATAGAATTAATCATGCAGATTTCTGTTTGATGAATGTTGATATATGCCTATACCTGTGAAAGTATCACGTGAAGATGCAAGAATTGGGTTTGGGACCTCAGTGGTAGAGTTTTGCCAGGCATTCTCAAGGCCCAGGGTTCGAGCTCAGTCCACAAAAAGCAAACCATATCAACAATAAAAAACTGTTAAAGAATCCACGTGCTTGCCGTCTTGTTGTCGCTTTGTAGCCCCTTGTTTAACCTCCTGTTCTTCTCCCTGTGCAGTCTGCTGATCCGCTTTCTATCACAGAAGTTAGTTTTCATTTTCTAGACTTGTGCACAAATGCATTCTCTAGCATATATGTGTGGTGTTGTATATGGAACCAGGGGCCTTTCCCTGTTAGTGTTTCCACTGAGTGACACACGGGCCCTGTGGGGCCCTTTGACTCAGTGATTTTGAGATTCATCTGTATTGATGAATACATAATAATAGTTCATCTTTTAAAATTATAGTAAGTAGCCCATTGCATGAAAGGCAGTGTTGTACCCTCTATTTCTCCACTCAGCTGTTGACAGATAGGCCTTTGGTAATCCCAATTTTTAGCTATGTTAAACTTTAAAAAAATTAAATTTAGCAGGACTTGAATAAAGAATGCATGAATCAGGCAACACTCAGAACTGTGAAAGGTTCAGAGGGGTCTGAACCAGTAAGTATTTGTAGTCAGAAAGGGAGAGTAAGTATGGAAGTAGCTTGATTGGTTCCATCTCCTCCTCTGCCTTTTTGGGTTGTGGTCCAGTCAGTTGGCAGCTTGTGACTGGCTGAAGCTTGGCTGCTTGAGATTGATGAAACTATTATAACCTAAGTACAGACTTAGGTCTTCAGTGTGTATGCTGTGCGGCATTACATGGATCACAAGGAAGATTTAGGAAGCAGTGTATTTAGGATTATCAGTTTAATTTGGACATGTTAGATTTTAGGACTGTGTTCGCTTGCTGTCTTGTGTTTATTTAATTGGGTATTTGCTGTGGTGGACTGACCACTGTGGTCAATTTATGACACCCAGCTGAACTAAACCAGCATGGTTCTGGGTATGAGGGGACCATCTGAGGATTGTTGTCCCCAGCATAAGAGGCAGAATTGGAGAGGAAGAAGGGAGACTCTAGGAAGTTATTAGAAACTGCAGGGAGCTGGTGGAAGCTGTAGGTTCTCCTGGAGAAACTTGTCATGCTGGCTTTCCTGATGAAGTTAGCTGTTCTTACAGTCAGAGGGGCTTGGGACCTTGTTGTTAAGGATGGCTGCGATACCTTTTGGGGGAGCTCTGGTCCTTCCCTTCAGCGTTGCTTCCTGGCTCCAGTGCAGATACCTGTCTGCTGGCACAAATCCTTCATCCCGCTGGCGCAGACTTTCTAGTTGCCACCACTGATCTTTTGCCTTCTCAGTGCCCAGAGGCTCTGTGAAACAGGCCTGCATGAGACATTGTCATGGGCCCTAAGCCTCAGTTGGACGTGGCGGGAGGCATTGTTATGGGCTCCAGGTCTTCAGCTGGATTCAGGCAGGACATTACCATGGAACCCAGGCCCTCAGCTGAAGTCTTTGGTTTTTAGTGTGTGGAAAGATTTCCTGCACTTTCTGTATGTGATTCTTTGGGTGATTCAATATAAAATAACTGTATAAAATATATGAGTCCTATATTCTATTGTTCCCCCTGCAAAACTCCAGACTGCAGCACTTGTAAATGAAGGCATGGTATCTTAGGTCAAATACAGAGAGGCTCAGGGTGACACAGCTCGTCAGTTTCAGAATTAGAACTCCAACATAGTGCCTTCTAGCTCCAAAGTTCATGTTGTTTACTCTTGAGGTGTTACATGTATATTCTCAAAGCAGGAAAACTTACTTGGGTTACCTATATTATTGTCAAATAATTATAATCTAGTATTATAACTATATAGCAGAATTTGCAAGCACACATATTTACAGGCTCCAGACAGGTGTAACTGTCAGTGGAAGTAATACCAGAGTGGTGACATTTGTGGAGAATTGCAAAGTCTGCCTCAACCTGAGAATCAGCCTCTACTCAGCTCTGACAGATGATTACAGTGTGGAAGTGTGCATGCAGTATTGCTAGATCTTTTAAGAGAGGTCAGAAATCTGGATTTTACTGTTAATTAATTCTTCAGTTGTAAACATAGGCAGCAGTCCTTTAACACACTGTGTGGGCTTTCGTTGTGTGTGTTCACCAAACACATGATGTGATTTGGATCTTACCCATTGGGTATCCTTTGGTGTGAGTTGTTCTTGGTATATATACAGTGGCAGTAGCAATAAATTTATGGGATGGGAAAGGGTGGGAACTCTGTATAATAAGCACATTACAGGCATTAAATGTAGGTTCTTTGGTTTAAACATGGTGCTTAGTGAGTCTAGTTTTCATACATATCAGTTAATTATAGGTGGGGGAGGGAAGAATTGCACCCTGCAGCTTTTGCCTCCTAATTGCATGCTTTTATTTGCAGGTAGGGTCAGTTCTGAGTTGGTGGATATTGGTGGATATTTTGAGTGAAACCTGGAACTAAATGGAGAAATCATCAGGGAACAACTTCTGATAGAGTTTGCAAGGTATCAGTGTATGTAATACGGAATATTCTAAACCCAGACCTAACTGAATGAGGAGTGGTAAGTCTGATTATCTCCTCTGGTAACTAAATAACCTAAGTCTGTTTCATAAAAAAGACTGTTCTCGGGGCCGGGGAGATGGCTCAGTAGAATAAGCACTTGCCTGGCAAACATAAGGGCCTGAGTTCAATTCCTGGTTCCGCAAGGAAAAAAAAAAAAGACTGTTCTCCCTGTATTCTTACTGTTTACTGACAAATTAATGTTTGTAATACAGAGAAACAGTTTGATACATGATTTCAGGATTTGACTTTCTTCTTCTAATTAGCCAATCTTCTCCTTTGCCTGTGTATTTTTTTCTTGTATTTCCTCTCCAGTCCAAGGCCGGAAGTAATTACCTTTGCAGTATTTAGCCAGGACTGAAGAAATGGCATTTAGCAGTAGCCATAGCAGTGGTGGTTGTGGCGGGCTTCCGTCTCTTTGGAAGTGATTGTTGTAGGAGAGCCAAGGGCAGCTTGGGCCAATGGGAGATAAGAAGGAAGTCTACAACAGGTACCTGGGGAAGGTTGTCTTGCTGTTGAGAAAAAGAGGGAACTAGATGGTTCCTTATCTCCCTAGTGCTTGTGTTATTTGGCTGTGACTTCTGAAACTACAGCCATCTTGCTAGGAGCCAGAAGGTGATGCTTTATGGGAAAAAGGGCAGAACCAAGAGGCCCTCAGAGACAAATACAACTGTAGCCCACTTTCCACCTACTTGAGTAGCCAGAGCTGCGTACCTGAATTTCCTTCTTATTTAAGCATTTTTGTCTTGAAATTTTCTATTATTTGGTCCAGAGATCATCTAGGTTCATTTTGATTTCTTCTTTCTTTGGTTACTGGGAAGCATATGTGTTTCTGCTTGATTTTGTTCTGTGCTGTTTAGTAATGGTGGTTGCTTTTGTGACATTGTATTTAACTTTGTGAAGTTCAGGGCATTGTGTGTATCCTGTGTGTCTAACACAGGTACAATTTCCAGTACATATTTACTGCATTGAATTATTTGGATATAGAGTACTTGGGAAGCCAGTTTTCAGAACTGAATAATTATATAGGTTTTCCTTTAGTTCACATCCTTTTCTTTAAACACACAGTTCCCCCTAGGGTGAGTGAGAGTTTGGCTTTTTGCCTAAGATGACTGGTGTGTAAGACATATTCAGGTGATTAGTTCTACTCTTAAAAAATGTTGCTTGGATTTTGCTTTGTGTTTTGGGTCTGACTTTATCTCTCCTATATGTTTGAGTATTAGCTTTCAGTCTGATGAACAGTTACATAGCCTTCTGTTATAAAAACAGAATAGCTTACTGTTTTTTCTTCTAATTATAGAAATGGTAATAAACACGAATGATAAGAAACATAATTTAGGAATAATTTTTTGTTATCTTTACAATGTATGTTCACATAGTGATTCCTCAGACTATACATCCTGTTCTTAGGACTTAGTTGTGTCTTGAAAGGGGCCAAGTTCTGGAGGGTGACTTGGCACAGAGAGTCTAGTAAGGAGCGCTCTTGAGCCATTCGGTTGCTTGTATTGTAAAGCTTTTTGAAACATCACCACCCCTCCTAACTCAAGATATTCATGTACTTGGGCTGGGGAGATAGCTCAGTTGTCTAAGTGCCTGCCTGGCAAGTGCAAGGTCCCAAGCTCATTCCCCAGTACTGGGTGCTGCGCCAGCCCTGGAATCCTGGGCATGCCATGCCAGCCACTGAAACCAGGTGTGGTGGCACATGCCTATAATTCCAGTGCTGGGGAGGCAGAGACAGGGATTATTATGAGTCTGGACTGCATAGCAAGACCTGTATCAAATAAAGAAATAAAAGATTAAAAAAAAAAAAGATATTTAGGGGGCTGGGAAGATGGCTCAGTAGAGTAAGTGCTTCCCTGGCAAGCGCAAGGGCCTGTGTTCAATCCCTGGTTCCGCAAAAAAAAAAAAAAAAAAAAAAAAGAATTCATATACCGTTCTATTTTTCGCTTAAACTCTGCTGTTACAGTCTGAAAAATTGTAAAGTAAAAAGTTTTTCTTTCTGAAAATCTGTGGTTGTATTTTTAGTTACATTAAGAAGGAAAGTCATTAATCTGTGATCAGACTTTTACTAGATAATCTGAATCCTTTTAAAAGTGATATATATTCAGGGAAGACTTGAGCCCCCCTTTTGGTGATGGTCCTTAATATATGCTTTACCACTAAGCCGCACTTTGAGCTCCTTGTTCCTCATGGGTTGTGGTGAACATGGGAAATCCCTTTGAAAGATGATAAGAAGGTTGCAGGGTGTGCTTCCTCATGCAGCAGCGATACCATCATTTTGGTATCAGAAATTTAAATCATTAAGATAAACTTTAATCAGCTTTATTTCAAAATGTATTTTAACATTTGTGCAAGTGGATTGTGTCTTCCTTAAGGGAACCAAGGTGTGCATGCAGCCTAAGCCAGATCAATCAGAGTGTTTAAGTTCTTTTTTGGTGTGTGTGGGGGACCAAATGAATTTTAGGACATATGCTAATGCCCTTTTCTACCAAGTGAATTTTGGGACATTTGGTAGAAAAATTGGGATAACGTTACTTTTTCTTTTCATTTCTGAAGTTTAACTTGAAGACACACTGAATGGACTCCTGGCAGCTATCTTCTGACTCTGAAAGGAGAGCTAGTTCTATGAGATGCCAAACTGAAGGAGTCCAACCAAGAAAACCCATCCCCTGTTGATTTGCTTTTTTTTTTCCGCCTTGGTACCAGGGATCGGACTCAGGCAGGCGCTTGTGCTGCTGAGCTATACCCCAGACCCTCCTGTCACTTTGTTGAGCTCCTGGATCAGTCAGTCCTTCCCTGATGGTGTGTACTTCCAGATTCTTCTCATGTGAGCCAGTAAATGCCTTGTTTAGTTCTGCTGGTTTGGGTTTCTTCACATGAATGTGAAATATCCTGAGGGGTCCTTATCCAGTCTATACCTATACGGAGGACTCAAGGGACATAAGACTTGCCTTGTATGTTAGGCAAAAGGACCTCTGCAAGGGATGTGTGGGATGGCAGATAATGGAGTCTGTCCATTGATTTATTCAGATATTCAGGTAGCAAGTGCAAGGGCTAAGATGATAATATAGTCCATGCCATTGCAAATGAAACTGGCCTGTGAATAAATCCTACTAATGAAATTTTCCTAACCAATTGAAATTAGGGTTTGAAAGAAACAGAACATTCTGTGGTGATTGTTGGCTTTGACAGGAACCCCAATTGAACCCTTAGCACCTCTAGGAACTTCTCTGACTTTAAAGTGTATAGCTGGGTGTGGTGGCACACGCCTGTAAATCCCAGAACTCAAGAGGCTAAGGATTAAGTTTTTTTTTTTAAAT